ATGTAGCAAACCAGAAGTCACAGCCCCAGACTCACTCTCGTAATCAGAGACTCAGGCATCCCAGCCCTTGTTGCTTTTGGCCTGCACAGAGTTCAATACTGATCAATGCCTCACAGTGGGCCGTGGGTTCACCACGGTGCCTGCCCCTCCCTGCCATTGTGCCAGCCACTTCCTCCACCTGGTGCCTGAGTGTGTCCCCCCACCCCACATGTTTCTAGGGCATGACACATGCTAAACTTCAGTGCACCCTGCTGTGGGCTCTACCCGTCAGGCTCCCACCGGGTTCTCAGGGTGCCCCCTGCAGAGGGGGAATGTTGCTTCACAGTGCCTGGGGCTGGGACTGGCATGGGGTGTGACTGGGGGCTTGCCTCTCTCTGAAGTTAAGGAAAGGACAGTTATAAATGTTTTGCAAGAACTGTTGATAGCAGCTTGATGAGATCATTTCTTTATCTTTATCTCGATTCTCTGACTCTTCATGGTTACTCAGGATTGGTCTCTTTTCTTGTAAGAAAGTCAAAATCAGATCAGATGTGCTTCTGGAAAAACCCCACTGGTTTGTAACTGCAAAGCATCTGAGATACAGATTATTTGAGGTAAAAAGCTTTCAACTGTGTGCACACACAGGTCTGTTCTAGCTGGGAATCCCCAAGCAGTTGGACAAACTAGCAGTTAGATTTTTCTCAGTTTTACAATCCAACTTCTTTATTTGGCTATTTTCAGCTCATGCATCTGATGAGCCACCAGGGCCCTCTTAAGAGCTCTCTGGAGGATTCCTTGCCATTAGGGCACTGGTGGAAGAGCAGATCTGCACAGATGTACTTTTGCAGATAGTCAATGAATCCTGATTATGCAAACCAACTTTCCACCTCTTGCATTGACTGATAAAAATACCTTAATATTTAATAAACTCACTTTTCTTTTCCTTTTTTGTACCAGGGATTGAACTCATGGGAACTTAATCACTTAGCCACATCCCCAGCACCACCTTTTTTTTTTTTTTTTGTATTTTATTTAGAGACAAAGTCTCACTGAATTGCTTAGGGCCTCACTAAATTGCTGAGACTGGCTTTGAACTTGAAATCCTCCTGCCTCAGCCTCCAGAGCCATTGGGATTACAGGCATGTGCCACTGCGCCTGCATATGTTCACTTTTCTTGGTGTATGAGGCACAGGTGCCATAGCTTATGCCTCTGCAGATGCAAGTAACTTAGATGCAAAATAAAATTGCATTCCAACATGTGGCTCACTGGTAATAGTAGTGAGATCAAATAGCTTTCTGTTAGGATCCTCTATTCTCCTTAGCATTTGTTGAACGTCTGTGGACTAGAATTTTGCGAGGTGCTCTTCAACAATTGTTTATTTTTTTGCTGATGAAATTACAGCATTCACAGGGTCAAGACCATGAAGGTGGATGCTGAAACCTCCAGAAACACCATATATGCACCAGGTGCTTGGCGATGATTCTTCTAAGAATCCTCCTGCAGGGGACTGCCTAGTTAGTGGAAGGTCTCCCCTGACTCCATAGCTCTTGCTCTCTCCACACCCCATGTGTTTGCCTTTTGAGATGCATTTATGGGTTGATTGAAAATTTTTAAATAAGCAAGTCATGATTCTACCTGAGAATGTTAACCTACTAAAAGTGTTAACCTACTAAGCTCTTAAAATGTTTCAAGAAGCTCTCCTAGCCCAATTCTGATTTAATCATCTGGGAAGAGGCATCAAAGGCTTCCTTTGGTTACTGACATGAGTCATGCCACCCTGGGTTGGCCTTGGGGGGACAGAGACTTCAGAATTGACTTGCTTCTCCTAGATAAGAGTGCTAGGTGGTCCTCCATCTGAAACTCAGGACACATGTAGACAGGAGTCCTTATAAAAGTCATTATGGAGTAATTGCTTATATAATGGCTAGTTCTGTCTGAAGGGGTGACAGGGGTGTAGCTCAAAGCTAGCAGTCAGAGGAAATGGCCTCCAGTGCAAAAATCAGTGGTCTTCATGTAGTTTAGGATGGTGGTGGGTTTTTTAAATTAATTAATTAATTAATTTTACAGTAGAATGCATTTTGACATATTGTGCACAACTTCTCATTCCTCTGGCTGTACATGGTTCACAGTTACTCCAGTAGTGTAATCATACATGTATTTAGGGTAACAATGTCTGTCTCATTCTACCATCCTTCCTATCCCCACAGCCCCACCCCTCCCCTCTCTTCCCTCTACGCAAACCGAAGTTCCTTCATTCTTCCCTATCACCACCCCCACCCCACTATGGATCAGCATCCACTTATCAGAGAAAACATTCGGCTTTTATTTTTTTGGGATTGGCTTATTTTATTTAGCACCATATTCTTAGTTATAATCATTTACCTGCAAATGCCATAATTTCATTCTTCTTTAAGGCTGAGTAATATTCCATTGAGTATATGTATCACATTTTTGTTATCTATTTATCTGTTGAAGGACATCTAGTTTGGTTCACTTGTTTAGCTATTGTGAACTCAGCTGCTATAAACATTGATGTGACTGTGTCACTGTAGTATGCTGATTTTAAGTCCTTTGGGTATAAACTGAGGAGTAGGGTAGCTGTGTCAAATGGTAGATCCATTCCAAGTTTTCTGAGGAATCTCCATACTGCTTTCCAGAGTGGTTGCACCAATTTGCAGTCCCACCAGCAATGTCTGAGTGTAAGGGATGGTGATGTTTTTATCCTTTCATTCATTGATTCAGATTAGCTCAAGAAACTCTGATTTTTGTGCCCAAATCTCTGTGGGCCAACTTAGCTGTTTAAACTTCATGAGGACTCAGTTGAGATTAAATGAGATGATTAGATGGTTCTTTTAATGACTGGCACTACGGGACTAGGGTTTTAGTTTGCTCAGTGTATAGGTCCTGAACTGGGGCTGGTGATCCTTTCAGTGAGAGGTATCTGCGGTATTTATTTACTCAGGTGTGCCCACCTTCCTTACCTTCCTCTCCTTGACTGCTTTTCATCTTTTATGATTGGGCATCTGTGGGTATGGTCACCCCTCAAGGCCAGCCTGTGTCTGGTTGGCTCAACAGATGATATGAGGGCTTTGGTCACATGGGTGAGGAAGTGTGGGAGAGTAGATGAGTTCTAGCAGGTCACCACTTCCAGAGAAACAGCCCAGGAAGGGGCAGTCCACTGGCCAGCTGGAGGCCCCCTCCTGCCCACCTCCTCTGATGATCAGACCTGGCCTGCTTACATCCTCAGAAATTGAACACCCAGTACACGGAGCACTTCACAGGGGTGTGAATTTACCTCTCATTAACCTCTCCACGCTCTCCCTGATTATTATTATTTCCGGGGGGGGGGAGGGAAGTGCTGGGATTGAACTCAGGGTTCTGCCCATGTTAACCAGAGCCCTCCACTGAGCCCAGCCCAGCCCAACCCTCCCTGGTTTTCCGATGCTCTGCTGGCCTTCGAGGTAGAGGGGAAGGCTGTGGAGAGGCTGCGGTGCCTTCAGGTATTTTGTGTAGATCTAGAAGGTGAGATATTTGAGTTTCTGATTTTATGGATCAGCCATTTTTCTGTCTCCCTAGGAATATATCATGGTTGAGCATGTTACATATTTTTGATTCTTAATGTGGTACCAAATGTCAAAATTCTGTCATAAAATTTTTAAACACTGTAGATTTTCCTTGTTCTACTCTAAACCAGAGAATAATAGTTCCTAACCAGATGACGGTAAAAAGTTGATTGAGGTCTTCTGACATTTACTAATGCTAGAAAAAGATAGGTAATTTTAAAAAGGTAGATTGGCATATATTTGTGATTTTATTTACATTAACAGCATTCATAAGCATTAACTTTAAAAATGTTCATTAGAGGGGCTGGGGATATAGCTCAGTGGTAGAGTGCTTGCCTAGTATGCGAGAGGCCCTGGGTTTGATTCCTTGCACCTAAAAAAGAAAAAAAAAAATCTATTTGAGTTCATGTAAGTCCATTTTTTAGGTTATAGCCTAAACCTAGCAGAGAATTTATTTCAACAAATCAAATTTAAAAAAAAAGACTTTCCACAAAAGTTAAAACTTCAATTTTTAAAAACTTACATAGGCAAGGAGTTGTCAAGTTTAGTGACACATTTTATGTATTTAGGGTAATAATATTTTTGCTGTGTGGGGCACTAAACCCAGGGCCTCCTGCATGCTCCCATTAAGCTACACGGCCCCCCAGCCCATCTGGTGTATTATCAAACAATTGATAATATCTGTGTTCCCTTTTTACATCCTAAAGGATATTAACAATTCTGGTTTCTCCAGAAACGTCACAACTGTCGAGAGCAAAACACACTTTGGGACCTCAGTTTCAAGCAGCCAGCACATAAAGAGCTCTGTGCGCAGTTATGTGTGAGAGCCAGCAGCTGCGAGGCCTGGTCCTGGGGGGCCACCAGACCAACTGGCCGACCACAGTTGTTCCCCTGATGTCAGGTAGTGCCCTTGGAACCACCTCCCTGGTCTCTGTCAAAGCTTATTGACAGAGAGAATTGTGGACTTCAGCTCCTCCCCGGAGCCTTCTCAGGCCTGTTGGTGCTCTGCAAATATCCTGGTAAACACTGACGGTAACCTGGGGGGGACCTTCCTCTTGGCTGACTGCAGAAGGCTGAATGGTTCTGGAGCTCATCCTTTGTGACATTGCTTGGTGTATATACCACCATTATCATGGCAATGTGACTATTTCCATAGCAATTCTGTTTTGCTTTGTGTGTATTCAGAAATATTACATTTCTTGACCTGCGTTGGGCACAGCATATGCTAATATGAATGCATCCCATGTACCTGTAGCATGGAGGGTACAGCACACCACAGCAGGAGACTAGCTTTGTAGATTGGTTAACCTCAGTAAGAAATAGGTAAAATGAGGTGTTTGGTCCTTTTAAAATTAATATGTTGTGATATTCCCCTTCTCCCTCCCTACATCCACTATTGGGGCGGAAACAGCACTGTTCGTACCTATTCTAAGGCCCCTTTTCTGCTTGCTTTTCAGAAACGTGAAAGCAAAAACTGGGGAATGGTTCTTTGAGGAACGAGCCAAAAAATTTCCAACTGCAGGTAAATGCTCTTCAACTTTTTACTATATGTAGTCCTGGTTTTAAAATATTTGCTGCTATGATTTTTGATTATAAAAAAGTTCATGGAGCTGGGGTTGTGGCTCAGTGGTAGAGCAATCGCCTCACAGGTGTGAGGCACTAGGTTTGATCCTCAGCACCACATATAAATAAATAAATAAATAAAATAAGGGTATTGTATCCATCTACAACTAGAAAAAATTTAAAAATAATTCATGGGCTTAGAATTGTCAAAAGACAAAAATCACAACAAATTTAGTTATAGATCAAATTGACTTTTATTTGCAATTTATGAATGGGGCAGCCTCTACTGTACAAAATAGAAGTCAGCTCCCAGGATGGCCAGGGCAGGACAGTGGCTTTTGTAAGGTGGGAACAAGGGAACAGAGCATGGCAGAAAAGCTGATTGGCTAACATCAGAAATTACTTGGTGGGGTTAAAGCAGAGGGGGGTCCCTGTCAGGCTGACTCAGAGGAGGCTGGAATCTACTCTTTTCAGGAAAAACTGGTCTGTTTGGGGATCTAACTGCATCGTTAAAATGTCACTTTTCTTCTGCAGCATTTAGCATGAGTGACTGTTTTGGTCTGGTCTGGTCTGGTCTCTTGGGGTCTCGTGGGGGAACTCGGTCCAGAACAACGGCCTCCCGTGACTTTAGTTCACAGGCCCTGAAGACTGGTCCTCCTGTTCCGCCCAAGCTTTCCTGCACCTTACCACACACTATTTGCTACCTGTGCCTGTGGCTCTTCCCACTCTACCCCCACGAGATGGGCTCCCTTCTTTAGGACTCCTGCTTCAGGGAGTTTCCTTGACTTCCTGCTTCTCAGAGTGACAGTTCCTCTGGGACACCAACAGCTTCTGGTTGGTACATTTCTTCTGCAATTATTGCAAAGCTCCTTTTATCATAGATTTGTTTGTGTGCTTTTGTTTGTGTGAGTAGAAACTGCTTTTAGAATCTTGTTCCCCTCTACAGCACCAAGGACAATTCTTCCCTCATGATCCTGGGTCACAATAATTAACTGAAGACCACAGAGAGTGAAGAAGAGCATTTGCAGGGAGCAGGGGAGGAGGCTGGCTGTGGCCTGTGAGTGGGTGTGTGCAGCTGGTCTTAATACCATGCAGGTATTAAGATAATAAAGTGTTTTCAGAGTAAGACACGGCGGTGTGGTCCATGCTGACACTGAGAACTCTGCGGGGAGGGAATGGTACGCTGGTCACACAAGTGGCCTTACCTGGGCATGGTAAAGGTGTGCACACGTGACATCGCCATCAGGTGGAGGCCGCTCGCTGTGAGGAGCTCTTGTCTCAAGTGGTGACATGGGTGGCTCGTCTCCTCTGTGACTGTGATGATGGGCCTGGACTCAGACTGTCGGGCGTGGGTGGCTTCCGATACTTTTTCTAGAAAAAGTGTCAGTTTGAGTTAGGGAAGCCCGATAGCCTCACCAGGGTAACCAGGCAATAAGGGAGCCATTCGCTGGAGTGCGGATGCTTGGCTTTACAAGAAGTCCTGACAGCCACGGTGCAGAGCTAGAAGGGATTAAATTCTCCCTGGGATCATATTGCTGACACTTCTTACTCAAGAATAAATGCCAAGGCTGAAGCCACAGAATGAAGCAAGGGTGTCTGATTTCACTCAGGCCAGTGCTTCTCGGCCCTTTCCATGATCCCCCCCACACCAGGTGGCTGGTGGGGCACCTTTTCCTAATTACTGTGGGTCCATGACTTTGCCGTATCCCAGGGGCCTTACTTGTGGTTATGTGCTGGGGCCTTCAGGAAAGCCGCAGAGTGTTCATTGTAACGTCTGGGAATCACCCGCCTAGTCCAGCTGCTGCCCCCGAGGGTGCTGTCCTCCCCTTAAAACACAAGCCAGCACAGCCACAGCAGCACAGGGCCTGCTCTGTTTTTTATTGCTTCGTTTGGTTTCTTTAAAATTCTTGCTGTGTTGGGGATGTCGCCCTTCTTCAGGTGGTAGAGACTCCATTTTTTTCCCTCACTTCAAATCCTACTTTATAAATTGAACCACAGGAACTGAAGTTCCTGTCATCTCTCAATTTCAAGACACCTCCGTTGTTTTACACGTTGTTGGAAGCGTTGGCCCCATTGTCTCATTGGGTAGGTGAGTTTTCAGACCAGAATGTGTGTGTGTGCACCTGGGTGTGAATGTGTGTGCAGGCATGTGTGTAAACACACAGGCTCACACCTCACCCTCTTTCAGCACCCCATCCTCTGGAAGAAGTAGGTCGCCATGGTGATACTCAAGCTACAAAGGGGAGTCGGAAAGAGCTAAGCCTGACACCCCGGGGTCCCTTTTTCACCTTGTAACTTTCTACAGGAAAGAAAATGACAACAAGAAAGGAAAAAAGGAGAGCAAGGAATCGATCTGAGAATAAATCATTCTTTTTCTGTGGCTGCTGTTTTTATCAACGTATAAAGCAAACACCAAAAAACAAAACAAATCCTTCTCTACAAGATTTCCTCAAATTCTGGGAGGTCTCATTTTCTTTGGCCTATCTCTGAGTGGGCTCAAGAGGTACAGAGAGATCCAGAAAATTGCCAGGCTGGGGGAACAGGCTGGGAGTAGTTCTGGGAGCCAGATGGGTAGGGTAGAGTTGTAGCAGGGGAGTCTGGAGAGGTTATCAGGGGTCAACTGACAAGGCTTGTGTGGGTAAGGAGGGGGTCTTCTTTGCTCTTGGCTGTGCCCCTAAAGGAGAACATGGTAGAGAAATGGGTGCATTGAACTGAATACCTGTGTCACGGGTCAGGTAAGGTCCAGTTAGGAGAGAGGAAACCACCTGGTCGTTGGAACAATGGGGATGAGATTCAGGCTGGTTAAATAGCTGTTATTGGAGGATGGAAACAGCAAAGGGGTCAGTGTGGGGACACAGAAGGACCACCCTTCCCTTCTGTCTGTGCTGAACAGACAGCAGGTGCACAGGGAGCAGCAGACAACCCCCCTGGTGTCTGGGATCCCCAGTGGTCCCCATTGCACCCCAATAGGGAGCCAGCTGCACCCCCAGCTCTCTGATGTATTTTCGTGATTTCTGTAGTGTGTGTTGTGATGGTGCAAAGGAGGCTTTTTCAAGCCCTCTATATCCTATCCCAAAAAACTAGACCATGGCCTATACCATGAGGGGTTTGAGATCATCCCTTTCTGTGCATTGGTCACCTGTTGCTGCGTAACAAGTCACTCCAAACTCAGTGGCTTAAAACAACTAGCATTCTTGTTTTTGTCTCCAGCTGAAGGCTTTTCTGGGGCTAGAGGCTCTGACTTCTTGGGCTCCTTCACATACTCAGCCTTTCCCTGGCTCCATTTCTCTCTCTCTCCTCTGTCTCCTTTGTCTCTTTTCTTGAGTGGAACCCAAGGCCTTGAGCGTGATGGGCAAGAGCTCTACACCCTGAGCCGCATCCCCAGCCCAGAGGCAGTTTCTTAAGTCAAGCCGATGTGTTTATGTAATTTGGCTCAAATTGATTATAGTTTTATCCTGATGTTTATGTAATAATTTATAAAGACTGTTTTCCATGTCTTTCACCATCATCGTGTGATTTCTGCCTACTGCATCTCATCCAGCCTCAGAAGGTGTGAGCATTAATTTAATCAACTCACGATTGCTAGATAGCCAGGGAACTTTCAGTTTTCTATTACGCTCTGGGATGTTTGTAATATTAAAATCATATTTTACGGTGCAATGAACAGCCTTGAAGACAAATCTCTGAATATTTCTACAAGGATAAGGTTAGAAACTTGGTTTCCAGAGAGGATGTGCCTGAAACAAATCAAACAAACAAAGTAAAAAACAACTCTGTCAATTTGGTAAAGCCACATTGGTAGTGCACAGTGGTTTTCTTATATTTTAATTGCACTCATCTAATTACTAATGAGATTGAATATTTTCACTTTTTTTAAATTGAATCCATGGTCATTTATTCACTGAGCTATATCCCCAGTCTTTTTCTTTTTTAGACAGGATCTCACCAATTGCCTGGGCTGGCCTTGAACTTAAGACCTTCCTGTCCCAGCCTCCCAAGTCACTGGGATTACAGATGTGAGCCACCATGCCTGGCTTTCTATCTTTTTGACCTTCCATAGATGTTCTTTTTTAAAAACAACAACAACAACAACAAAATGATCTTTATTTTTTAAAATATCTTTTTAATTATAGATAGATAAAATATCTTTATTCATTCATTTATTTTATTTTTTTATGTGTTACTAAGGATCGAACCCAGTGCCTCACATGTGTGAGGCAAGTGCTCTACTAAGCTACAGCCCAGCCCCATAGATGTTCTTCTTATGTTAAAATTATTAACCCTTTTCAGTCATATTACTTGCACATGTGTCTTCCAGTTTGTGGTCTTTGACGTATATAATTTTTTTGTGTGTGTAATCAAATTCACTTTTTCTTATATAACTTTTTTCTTTTCTTTACTGCTTAGAGACTTCCTTATCCTACAATTCAGTTAAATACTCACACTTACTTTCTTCTTTTATTTAGCTCTTCACAGTCCATCAAAAAGCCTGATCTAATCTTTTCCCTGGTGTGCAATGCTCCAGAACTATGTGTTACATTATCAGTGCCCTTCACATTGGTTCATAATCCAGGGCCATTGGTTTGTACAGCTCCAAGGTGCATCAATCCTGTGCTTCAGGGCTGTCCCCAGAGGCCAAGATGCTGCCTCAAAGGTCAAGAACTGTTTCAGTCAGCTTTTTGGCTGCTGTGTCCAAAAGATCTGATGAGAACAACATAGAGGTGGAAAGCGTTTTTGGGTCTCACGGTTTCAGAGGTCTCAGTCCATAGATAGCCAGGAAGCTCTCTGCACCATTCTGCATTGTCATTGTTACCTCCAGCCACTCTGTCCACAGGTACTTGGCTGGCATTCTGTGCAGGAACTTTTAGTGTGGCTTCTGGGGCCTGCCCCAGGGTCAAGCTGCAAGCTGTGTCAAATCAAAGCTCCTGGCCTCACACACAGAGGTTCTGACTCAGTGGG